GGGGGTGTCTGGGGGGTGCGGGGGCAACCGGAGGCACTGGGGGGGCTCGGGGATAACTGGGGAGTCAGGGGGTAATTTGGGGCCAGTGGGGGGGTCTGAGGCAGTGGTCGGTGGGGGGCACCGGGCGCTGCCGCAGCGGAGCTGGGGGGCACGGGAGTCACGGGGTGCGGGGGGGTGCAGCTTAACGGGGGGCCGGGTCTGCCCCCCGGCCCTTCCTCACGACCTCTCCTCCTCCTCCTCCTCCTCCTGCGCAGGCCGCGGCGATGCTGGCGCGGGGCCGGCGGCTGCTGCGCGGCTGCTGCAGCCCGCTGTTCCGCGGCCGGGCCCTGCTGGCCACCAACACGCTGGGCTGCGGGGCGCTGCTGGCGGCGGGCGACGCGCTGCAGCAGGCGCGCGAGCGGCACCGCGAGCCCGCGCGGCGCTGGCAGCCCGCGCGCACCGGTGCGGCCCGCGGCGCGGAGCGCGTGGCGCGCGGGGACAGGGGGACACCCGAGCACGTGGCACGGGAGGGACACGGGGGTCAGGGGGCCACCCGAGCGCATGGCACGGGGGGACATGGAGCATGTGGCGCGGAGGGACACCTGAGCACCTGGCATGGGAGGACATGGAGCACGTGGCTCAGGGTGGCACCTCGAGCACGTGGCACGGGGGGACACCCAAGTGCCTGCACAGGGTGGCACCTGGCACAGGGGGACACAGAGCACATGGCACAGGGGGACACCCCAAGCTCCTGGCACAGGGTGGCACCCCGAGCACGTGGCACGAGGGGACACCATGGCACAGGGGGACATCCAGGCAGGTTTGGAAGGTCTCCAACCAAGGAGCCTCCCCCCCGTGTCTCCGCAAGCTCCTCGTGCAGCCGCATCCCCCTCCACAACCGCATCCATTTGGAGCGCCGTGCGGGCACCCACTCGGCCCTGGTGCCTTCGCCAGGGCTCCGTATATGTTTACGGGGCCGGGCCGGGTGTAAATAATGCACGAGGGCTTTGTGCGCGGCGGCCGCGGCGCGCGCTCACGGCGGTGTCGCCTTGCAGGGCGCATGTTTGCCATCGGCTGCAGCATGGGGCCCCTGATGCACTACTGGTACCTCTGGCTGGACGGCGCCTTCCCAGCCGGTGGCATCAAGGGCATCAGAACGGTCCTCAAGAAAGTCCTCATCGACCAGCTCGTGGCATCGCCGGCCTTGGGAGTCTGGTATTTCATGGGTAAGAGCCTGCTGCCCGCCCGATGGAGAGCGGGGCCACGCTGCCAACGGGCAGCGAGTGACGCGGCGGCCGCCCTGCCAGCGTGACGCCCGTCATTCCCGCTCCACGGCGCCCTTTGGAGCAGGGAACGGCGCCCCGGGCTCCTCCTGCAGCCGCCTGCGGCTCATCCCGTCTCTCGGCTGCAGGAATGGGCGCCCTGGAGGGCCAGACGCCCGCGGAGAGCTGGGAGGAGCTCAGGGAGAAATTCTGGGAGTTTTACAAGGTAAAAACGCGGTCCTCGGGCTCTGCTTCCCGCCGCCCGCGCCGCGTTGGTGCCGGTAACGCCCGGTCTTCCCGCCAGGCCGACTGGTGCGTGTGGCCGGCCGCCCAGCTCCTCAACTTCCTCTTCCTCGCTCCCAAGTACCGCGTGGCCTACGTGAACGTGGTCACGCTGGGCTGGGACACCTACCTGTCCTATCTCAAGCACCGGGTAAGTGCCGGGGGCCACCGGGGGGGCCGGGTTGGGGTGGCAGCCACCGAGACCCCCCCCTTCCCTTGTGCTTTTAGCAGCACCCGGCCCTGGGCGCCGAGCGGGACTCGCAGCGACGCGTCGGGATGTGACTGTTCTCCGGGATGGCTCCGGGATGGCTCCTGTCCCCTGATCCGGGTTTCCATGGGAGCTGCGGGTGCCCTAAGCGTGGCCACGAGCGAGGGCTCCATGCAGGGAAGACAAGCGATTCCTGATTCCTGGAGAGAGTCTCAGCCATGAGGTGCCTGTCGCTGCGGCCTGAGGAGGAGATGGTGCTAATTAAGTCTTCTCCTGATTGCAATGAGCGGGGTCGGTTGTAATCTAGAGATTCTTGTGTCAAGGGCTGTTTGATGGAGCGGGTTTGCCTCGCGCGGAGCCCGGCGCTCTTGGGGCTGGCAGTGGCTGCTGCTCTTTGCGCTGAGGCTCCCTGCTCCGTTTTCCCTGTCCCAGGGGAAGGGCTGCCCCGTGGTCCCCTCTGGAGCTCCCCACACTCAGAGAGGAGCCCCCAGTTGTCCTTTTTCTCACAGATTTTCCCCAGAAATCCAGGCTTTGGGGGTTGCAAACTCCCTTCCCAGCTCCGTCCTGCACAGGCCGGGAGGCAGCGGGTCCCGGGCGAGCGCGATGCTCCCGCTCAAACCAGAGAGCTTATTTATTGACCACGTCCACGAAAACAGTCTCAATGAGCCTAAATTGACTTTTCCAGTGATTAAAGATATCGAGTAATTTTAAAGATGAGCTCTTCTTGCAGCCTTGCCGCCAAAGCGCGCCGCGGCCGGGGTGGGAAGAGCAGCTCCGGCGCTCCCGGAGCCCTTTGGCAAATGCTAATGATGGAACCAGATCCCGGGGCTTGTTCCGCTCCCGCGCTCCAAAGTGCAGATCCATGGAGGAAAGAGGTTGGAGGCGGGGCGGGAAGCCCAGAACCCCCAGCCCGGAATGCCCAAATGACCGGGAGTAGCTGGTGATCAGCATTGATTTATTTCTTCACAACATTTCTTTAATACAGTGATTTTTAGGAAATTGTACTTTTTTTTTTGACACTTTTGACATTTGTACAGTACAGTGTAACGCTTCCATAAGTAAACTTCACAAAAAGAGGAGGCTGGAGGTGGGGAGAACCAGGGGGGGCAGGCGAGGGAACCTGTAAAATAAAGCCACATCGCTCCAAGAAAAATAAATAGAGGGAAGCAAGACCTCCGGGTCAGTCGTTGCTAGAGGAATATCCACGTTTTCACAGTCTCCACATAAGCACGTTACTATATGAACAGACAAGGAGCCCAACGGCCCGGAGCTGCGCGGTGGTCGCGGAGCTGCCGCTCGTTTGCTACAGCTTGCTTTGCTGGCCTTGCTTTTTTGATATATATATATCTCTATATATATTCTTTTTCCTTTTATAACGCTTAAATAATTGATTTAAAAGTGATATTCACAAGCAGGGGTCCACACCGATGAAAAGAAATGCACCAACACGGCCACGGCACGGCAGGTCACACGCACAGCGTCACTTGCTACTTCTATTTACAAGGAGGGATTTTTTTTCCTTTTTCTTTATATATACAAGGAGGAAGACAGCGGGAGCATAAATTAGCATCTATTTATACAAATAAACAAGAGATATGAAATAATCCATCCATGTGGGGCGGGAGGAGAGCCAGGGAGCGAGGAGAGCCGAGCGGGGAGGCGGAAGCGGCGCGCGCCGGGATGCGGCTGCGGGATTCCCGGCACGGCCGCCCCCTTCCCAAGCTCCGGCTCCGCTCGGGATGCGCTGGCGAGCGGGAAGCGCCGCGGCACCAGCTCCCGATTACACCGGGGCGGGGGGACGTGAGCGGTAAGAGCTGGCGGCACCAGACAACGGAAACGGGATAACGGGATTGTCTTATATATAAGAGACTCATGGAATAACTAAAAGCAGACTTGGGGTGAGAGGGGGGTTCTCCTACTATCCCGGCCTTAAAAATAAATAAAGGGTGTGGGGGGGGGACAGCCTAACGTGGGGCAGGGGGGCCCCGGCGAAGCCTGCGAGGTCTCAGCAGCCAAAGCCGCGCCGGGTCCCCGGCCTCGGGGCGGAGGGACCCACGGAGAGGGGCAGGGATGGGGGGACGGGGACGGGGGGGGGCGCGCGGCCCTAGCAGGCGCAGTCCTGGTGCGGCGGCGCCTGCTGGTCCGTGAGCTGGGGGCCCTGCTTGGCGCCGGTGACCGCCGGGTCGGCCGCGTCCAGCGACTCCGACATCTTCTCGCAGATGATGTCCACGAGCCGCTCGAAGGTCTGCTTCACGTTGATGTTGTCCTTCGCGCTGGCCTCGAAGAACTCGAAGCCTGGGTGCAGGGGAAATAGGGTGTTGGGGTGCAAAAAAAAACCACCTACAACCCCCTCCTCGATTCACAGCTTTTCCATTGCGCCCCGAGTGGCCCCGGAGCTGCCGCCTACCTGGGGAGCTTCACGGCTCCTCCTCCTCCTCCTCCGCGCTCGGCCCTGGCTGTAAAGCCCTAAACCCCCTCCCAGCTCAAGGCGGGTTTATCCCGGCCCTAAAGCCGCCCGGGCTGGCCGACATTCCCAATCCCTCTACGGAGCTGCCGCTGCCGCGGGCAGCGATGGGAAGCGCCATCAAAAGCGGGCGCTCGCGGGAGCATCACAATTTTGGGGGGTGGTTTTAGCCCATGAGCTGCTTCTGGTGGAAAATGTTGGGATTGCCGGGAAGGGGGAATGGGGCCAGGTGGGCGCGGGGCCGCCCGGCACTCACCCAGGTGCTCGGCGAGCTGGCGTCCCTTCTCCGAGGACACCACGCGCTCGTCCTCCATGTCACACTTGTTGCCCACCAGCAGGACCTGCGCGTTGTCCCACGAGTAGGTCTTGATCTGGGTGGACCTTGGGGGAGGCGAAGAGGAGGGAACCGCGATTAAGAAGCTCGTCAGGGGCTCGTTAGGGGCTCGCGAGGACCTCGCGCTCACCAGTCCTGCACGGCGTTGAAGGACTCCTCGTTGGTGATGTCGTACATGAGGATGAAGCCCATGGCGCCGCGGTAGTAGGCGGTGGTGATGGTGCGGTACCGCTCCTGCCCGGCGGTGTCCTATGGAAATGGGGGGGACATCAGGCGACACCGCGGTGACACCGCGCGCCGGGGGGCACCCGCCCGCCCGCAGCTCACCCAGATCTGCAGCTTGATGCGCTTGTCGTTGCGGTAGATGGTTTTGACCTTGAAGTCGATGCCGACGGTGCTGACGAAGGCCGGCGTGAAGGAGTCGTCGGCGTACCGGAAAAGAAAGGAGGTTTTGCCCACGCTGCTGTTGCCGATGATCAGGATCTTGAACATGTAGTCAAAGTTCTGGTCCGAGGACTCCTTCTGCCCATAGCGGGAGTCGGTAGCGGACGCCATCTGCGGAGCGGCGCCGTGAGGACGGGTTCCCCGGCACGCCGCGGCCCCGTGAGGCCGCGGGAGCCGCGTGGACACCACCCGGGAGCYGCGGGCGGCTCCATCCCGGTGCCGGAGCCCGGCGGGGGGAGGCTGCGGCCGGCGCCGCGCGGCCGCTCCCTGCGTTTCCGCCTCGAAATGGCACCTGCAGCGGCGCCCGGCCCGGCCCCGCGGTGGCACGGGGGCTGCCGCGGCCCGGCGCTGCCGCAGGGCGCCCGCTGCTGCAGCGGGGGTGCATGACGGGTGCGGGGGGTGACGATGCACAGGGACGGGGGCTGCGGGCGCACGGCCCTGCTGGGATGTAGGTGCCACTGCGGGGTGCAGAACCCCGGAGAACTGCAAGGCCATGGGTGCAGCAGGGTGGGTGTGTGGCCCCCAAGGGCAGGGGTGCACGGGGAGGGGGGCATGGCCCASTACTGCCAGGCAGGGGGTGCAGTGGGGGTGCCCGGTGCTGCAGAGCAGTGGGTGCAATGGGGGGATGTCCAACGCTTGCAGGGTAGTGGGTGCAATAGGAGGTCCCCGGCGTTGCAGGGAAGTGGGTGCAATCGAGGGGGCCTGGCACTGCAGGACATCAGGTGCAATGGGAAGGGGGTGCCCCATGCAGATGGGCAGGGGGTGCACGGCCCTGGGGGGGGGCGAGGAGTGCCCAAAGCTGCAGGGCGGTGGGGGCCAGGCCAGTTACACAACCCGCCGCTGCCACCGGCCCCGGGCCCGGCGCGCGGGGCCGAAATCCGCCATCCTGCCCCCCCAGCCCCCAGGCCTGACGGCGGGGGCGGGCAGGGGAGGAAGCGCGACCCTCCCCCGGGGCAGCCCGGCCGCGGGCCCCGCTGCTGCCCCCCCGCTGCAACGAGACCGCCTACACCGCCAGCGC